CCCAATCCATCCAGGACCCCCAAATCCCACCCCCCTCTGAGCCGCCCCCCTCCAAAATAAAAAAAAACACCAAAAAGTGGCCGCTAAACTCCGAAATTCCATAAAAAAATGTTTATTTTTGCCCGTAAAACAGCATTAAAGAAGGAAAATACACCCCCCCCTCCCCGCAGTAATATAAAAAATAATAAAAATAATATTTTGGGATGAAAGTGGCAAATCGGGGGATTTCACCCCGCCCATCAGGATCAATATCCCCCCGCCCTCCCCAAAATTCCATCCCCCTCCCAGAAAATGAAGGATTTGGGATATTTCCCAAATTGCCTCCCTTGGAGTGGAAAGGGCCCTCCGCGTTTTTCACAGGGGAAAAATGAGGATGAAAAGAAAGAAAAGTCCCCAAAAGCCCCAAAATGGTGGGAAAAGTCCCCAAAAGGGTGGATTTCTTTTTGGGGGGGGAGAAAATATGGATAAATTAGGGAATATTTGGGTTTATTCTATAACGGTAAAGCTCCCACCAGGCTCCAGTTTTCCGGGTTCTGTATGAGCACGATGGATGGAGGGAATTTGGGATCAGTGTCCGGAAAAAAAAAAAGGAGAAAGGGGAAAAAAGGGGGGAAAACACCCCAAAAGAGAGAAATTCCTGGAAAACCCAGACCTCAGAATGGAAGGAAAGGAGGAGCTGGGATACAAGGGCTTTTGATGGAAAGTCAGGATGGAAGTTGGATGAATCCTGGGGATTTTGAGCCCCTTCCTGCTTGGATGCAACAGGAATGTGGAAAAATAGGGAATTTTTTTTGCTTTTTTCCAGGTGTGGAAACAGGAGGGAAAAGAGGCAGCGTCGATGAAGGGAAAAGCGGGAAAATGCTCCGTTTTGGCACTCCGGGATTTGGGAATGGGAAGGATGGGAGCTCTGAGGTTGTGCCAGAGCCATGGGAATAAAAGCGGGAGCCCATGAGAAATGCTGGGAAAAGCCCCAAAATGCTGGAAGCGGCTTCAATAGCGGGTGGGATGCTCCGGAATACGGATCCGGGAACGCCAGGGCCCGCTTCCTCCTGGCCACAGGGAATATCCTGGATTGGGATTTGCGAGTGGAGTTTCTCCCTCCGGAGCGTCCAAACGAACCGACGGTGCCGAAATTCCCGGGAAAAGCGATGGGAGATTTTTCCCATCTGGGAACCATCCGGATGCAGCGATTCCAAATCCATCCCCTCCGGATGCGACGGAGAGACCCGACCGCTCCGGAGGGGAAAATTTAATAATAAAAAACCCCAAACCTGCATTTTTTTGTTGTCCAAACCCTGGGATGGGGGAAAAAAAATCGGAAAATCCGGCGTTTTTGGGGGGGATTTTTTTTTTCCGAGCGGGAAAAAGAAAGATCCGGCGCGACGGCGGCTTTAAAAAAAAAAGAGATGCGTTTATTCCATGATCAGTACAGACCAAAATGCAATATTCACTGTATATTAAAGGAAAAACGAAAAAAAAACGAAAAAAAAAGAAAAAATAACC